TTTAGAAAATGAAATTTGAAATCCGATGTTGCTCGAATGTAAAATTGTGAGAATAGTGCGACGAATGGCATCATGGGAATCATCTGCATGTAGGTCACTCAAAATGCTTTGCGTTCTCTTGAACGCTATTGGCTGACTTTACTCCCAGCATTTTGTGGTTAACAGAAGTTGCATTCTGCAAGCACTTAGTTATGTGACCTTGAACTAGTTAGGATAAAACTCTGTATTTCAAATTATGTAACAACAGCCGTCAATAACTAGTTTGAAACGCAGAGATTTGATAATGTGCTATTGCAGTTGTTTTCATAATACGACGATCGAAATTCTAGCATGACGTAATGGCCGGTTACCTCAGTTGGTTATAGCGCGGTGCTAATAACGCTAAGGTCGTGGGTTCGATTCCCATATTGGCCAGTCTTTATTTTGTGTGCCTGTTGAACACCATTGGCGTCATTTGGTTGCATCAACGTTTGGATATTGAAGTCCGCTGTTGCACGAGTGTAAAATTGTGAGAATAGTGCGACGAATGACATCATGGGAATCATCTGCATGTAGGTCACTCATAATGCTTTGCGTTCTCTTGAACGCTATTGGCTTATTTCACTACCAGCATATTGTGGGTAACAGACGTTGCATTCTGCAAGCACTTAGTTATGCGTCCTTAAACTAGTTAATATAATACAGCGAATTTCAAATTACGAAATATCAACCTTCAATAACCACTTCGAACGACACAGATTTAATAATGTGCTATCGTATTTGTTTTCAAAACACGATTACCGAAATTTTAGCATGTCGTAATGGCCGGTTAGCTCAGTTGGTTAGAGCGCGGTGCTAATAACGCAGAGGTCGTGGGTTCGATCCCCATATCGGCCAGTCTTTATTTTGTGTGTCTGTTGAACACCATTGGCGGCATTTGATTGCATCAACGTTTGGATATTGAAATTTAAAATACGCTCTTGCTCGAGTGTAAAATTGTGAGAATGGTGCGACGATTGGCATCGTGGGAATCATCTGCATGTAGTCACTCAAAATGCTTTGCGTACTCTTGAACGCTATTGGCTGATTCTACTACCAGCATCTTGTGGGTAATAGACGTTGCATTCTGCAAGCACGTAGTTATGCGTCCTTAAACTAGTTAAAATAATACAGCGAATTTCAAATTACGAAATATCAGCCTTCAATAACCACTTCGAACGACACAGATTTAATAATGTGCTATCGTATTTGTTTTCAAAACACGATTACCGAAATTTTAGCATGTCGTAATGGCTGGTTAGCTCAGTTGGTTAGAGCGCGGTGCTAATAACGCTGAGGTCGTGGGTTTGATCCCCATATCGGCCAGACTTTATTTTGTGTGTCTGTTGAACACCATTGGCGGCATCGGTTGCATCAACGTTTAGAAAATTAAATTTGAAATCCGATGTTGCTCGAATGTAAAATTGTGAGAATAGTGCGACGAATGGCATTGTGGGAATCATCTGCATGTAGGTCACTCAAAATGCTTTGCGTTCTCTTGAACGCTATTGGCTTATTTTACTACCAGCATCTTGTGGGTAATAGACGTTGCATTCTGCAAGCACTTAGATATGCGACCTTAAAATAGTTAGAATAAAACTCTGTATTTCAAATTATGTAACAACAGTCGTCAATAACCTTTTTGAAACGCAGAGATTTGATAATGTGCTATTGCATTTGTTTTCAAAATACGATTATAGAAATTCTAGCATGACGTAATGGCCGGTTAGCTCAGTTGGTTTGAGCGCGGTGTTAATAACGCTGAGGTCGTGGGTTCGATCCCCATAGCGGCCAGACTTTATTTTGTGTGTCTGTTGAACACCATTGGCGGCATTTGGTTGCACCAACGTTTGGATATTTAAGTCCGCTGTTGCTCGAGTGTAAAATTGTGAGAATAGTGCGACGAATGACATCGTGGAATCATCTGCATGTAGGTCACTCATAATGCTTTGCGTTCTCTTGAACGCTATTGGCTTATTTCACTACCAGCATATTGTGGGTAACAGACGTTGCATTCTGCAAGCACTTAGTTATGCGTCCTTAAACTAGTTAATATAATACAGCGAATTTCAAATTACGAAATATCAACCTTCAATAACCACTTCGAACGACATAGATTTAATAATGTGCTATCGTATTTGTTTTCAAAACACGATTACCGAAATTTTAGCATGTCGTAATGGCCGGTTAGCTCAGTTGGTTAGAGCGCGGTGCTAATAACGCAGAGGTCGTGGGTTCGATCCCCATATCGGCCAGTCTTTATTTTGTGTGTCTGTTGAACACCATTGGCGGCATTTGATTGCATCAACGTTTGGATATTGAAATTTAAAATACGCTCTTGCTCGAGTGTAAAATTGTGAGAATGGTGCGACGATTGGCATCGTGGGAATCATCTGCATGTAGTCACTCAAAATGCTTTGCGTACTCTTGAACGCTATTTGGCTGAATCTACTACCAGCATCTTGTGGGTAATAGACGTTGCATTCTGCAAGCACGTAGTTATGCGACCTTAAACTAGTTAAAATAATACAGCGAATTTCAAATTACGAAATATCAGCCTTCATAACCACTTCGAACGACACAGATTTAATAATGTGCTATCGTATTTGTTTTCAAAACACGATTACCGAAATTTTAGCATGTCGTAATGGCCGGTTAGCTCAGTTGGTCAGAGCGCGGTGTTAATAACTCTGAGGTCGTGGGTTCGATCCCCATATCGGCCAGTCTTTATTTTGTGTGTCTGCTGAACACCATTGGCGGCATTTGATTGCATCAACGTTTAGAAAATGAAATTTGAAATCCGATGTTGCTCGAATGTAAAATTGTGAGAATAGTGCGACGAATGGCATTGTGGGAATCATCTGCATGTAGGTCACTCAAAATGGTTTGCGTTCTCTTGAACGCTATTGGCTTATTTTACTACCAGCATCTTGTGGGTAATAGACGTTGCATTCTGCAAGCACTTAGTTATGCGACCTTAAAATAGTTAGAATAAAACTCTGTATTTCAAATTATGTAACAACAGTCGTCAATAACCTTTTTGAAACGCAGAGATTTGATAATGTGCTATTGCATTTGTTTTCAAAATACGATTATAGAAATTCTAGCATGACGTAATGGCCGGTTAGCTCAGTTGGTTAGAGCGCGGTGCTAATAACGCTGAGGTCGTGGGTTCGATCCCCATAGCGGCCAGACTTTATTTTGTGTGTCGGTTGAACACCATTGGCGGCATCGGTTGCATCAACGTTTAGAAAATGAAATTTGAAATCCGATGTTGCTCGAATGTAAAATTGTGAGAATAGTGCGAAGAATGGCATCATGGGAATTATCTGCATGTAGGTCACTCAAAATGCTTGCGTCTCTGAACGCTATTGGCTGACTTTACTCCCAGCATTTTGTGGTTAATAGAAGTTGCATTCTGCAAGCACTTAGTTATGCGACCTTGAAATAGTTAGAATAAAACAGCGAATTTCAAATTACGAAACAGCAGCCTTCAATAACCACTTCCAAACGCACAGATTTTATAATGTGCTATTGTATTTGTTTTCAAAACACGATTACCGAAATGTTAGCATGTCGTAATGGCCGGTTAGCTCAGTTGGTTAGAGCGCGGTGCTAATAACGCTGAGGTCGTGGGTTCGATCCCCATATCGGCCAGTCTTTATTTTGTGTGTCTGCTGAACACCATTGGCGGCATATGATTGCATCAACGTTTAGAAAATGAAATTTGAAATCCGATGTTGCTCGAATGTAAAATTGTGAGAATAGTGCGTCGAATGGCATTGCGGGAATCATCTGCATGTAGGTCACTCAAAATGCTTTGCGTACTCTTGAACGCTATTGGCTTATTTTACTACAAGCATCTTGTGGGTAATAGACGTTGCATTCTGCAAGCACTTAGTTATGCGACCTTAAAATAGTTAGAATAAAACTCTGTATTTCAAATTATGTAACAACAGTCGTCAATAACCTTTTTGAAACGCAGAGATTTGATAATGTGCTATTGCATTTGTTTTCAAAATACGATTATAGAAATTCTAGCATGACGTAATGGCCGGTTAGCTCAGTTGGTTTGAGCGCGGTGTTAATAACGCTGAGGTCGTGGGTTCGATCTCCATAGCGGCCAGACTTTATTTTGTGTGTCTGTTGAACACCATTGGCGGCATTTGGTTGCACCAACGTTTGGATATTTAAGTCCGCTGTTGCTCGAGTGTAAAATTGTGAGAATAGTGCGACGAATGACATCGTGGGAATCATCTGCATGTAGGTCACTCATAATGCTTTGCGTTCTCTTGAATGCTATTGGCTTATTTTACTACCAGCATCTTGTGGGTAACAGACGTTGCATTCTGCAAGCACTTAGTTGTGCGTCCTTAAACTAGTTAATATAATACAGCGAATTTCAATTTACAAAATATCAGCCTTCAATAACCACTTCGAACGACACAGATTTATAATGTGCTATCGTATTTGTTTTCAAAACACGATTACCAAAATTTTAACATGTCGTAATGGCCGGTTAGCTCAGTTGGTTAGAGCGTGGTGCTAATAACGCTGAGGTCGTGGGTTCGATCCCCATATCGGCCAGTCTTTATTTTGTGTGTCTGTTGAACACCAATGGCGGCATTTGATTGCATCAACGTTTAGAAAATGAAATTTGAAATCCGATGTTGCTCGAATGTAAAATTGTGAGAATAGTGCGACGAATGGCATCATGGGAATCATCTGCATGTAGGTCACTCAAAATGCTTTGCGTTCTCTTGAACGCTATTGGCTGACTTTACTCCCAGCATTTTGTGGTTAACAGAAGTTGCATTCTGCAAGCACTTAGTTATGTGATCTTGAACTAGTTAGGATAAAACTCTGTATTTCAAATTATGCAACAACAGCCGTCAATAACTAGTTTGAAACGCAGAGATTTGATAATGTGCTATTGCAGTTGTTTTCATAATACGACGATCGAAATTCTAGCATGACGTAATGGCCGGTTACCTCAGGTGGTTATAGCGCGGTGCTAATAACGCTAAGGTCGTGGGTTCGATTCCCATATTGGCCAGTCTTTATTTTGTGTGTCTGTTGAACACCATTGGCGGCATTTGGTTGCATCAACGTTTGGATATTGAAGTCCGCTGTTGCTCGAGTGTAAAATTGTGAGAATAGTGCGACGAATGACATCATGGGAATCATCTGCATGTAGGTCACTCATAATGCTTTGCGTTCTCTTGAACGCTATTGGCTTATTTCACTACCAGCATTTTGTGGGTAACAGACGTTGCATTCTGCAAGCACTTAGTTATGCGTCCTTAAACTAGTTAATATAATACAGCGAATTTCAAATTACGAAATATCAACCTTCAATAACCACTTCGAACGACACAGATTTAATAATGTGCTATCGTATTTGTTTTCAAAACACGATTACCGAAATTTTAGCATGTCGTAATGGCCGGTTAGCTCAGTTGGTTAGAGCGCGGTGCTAATAACGCTGAGGTCTAACCCTAACCGGCCAGACTTTACTTTGTGTGTCTGTTGAACACCATTGGCGGCATCGGTTGCATCAACGTTTAGAAAATGAAATTTGAAATCCGATGTTGCTCGAATGTAAAATTGTGAGAATAGTGCGACGAATGGCATCATGGGAATCATCTGCATGTAGGTCACTCAAAATGCTTTGCGTTCTCTTGAACGCTATTGGCTGACTTTACTCCCAGCATTTTGTGGTTAATAGAAGTTGCATTCTGCAAGCACTTAGTTATGCGACCTTGAAATAGTTAGAATAAAACAGCGAATTTCAAATTACGAAACAACAGCCTTCAATAACCACTTCCAAACGCACAGATTTTATAATGTGCTATTGTATTTGTTTTCAAAACACGATTACCGAAATGTTAGCATGTCGTAATGGCCGGTTAGCTCAGTTGGTTAGAGCGCGGTGCTAATAACGCTGAGGTCGTGGGTTCGATCACCATATCGGCCAGTCTTTATTTTGTGTGTCTGTTGAACACCATTGGCGGCATTTGATTGCATCAACGTTTGGATATTGAAATTTAAAATACGCTGTTGCTCGAGTGTAAAATTGTGAGAATGGTGCGACGAATGGCATCGTGGCAATCATCTGCATGAAGGTCACTCAAAATGCTTTGCGTACTCTTGAACGCTATTGGCTGATTCTACTACCAGCATCTTGTGGGTAATAGACGTTGCATTCTGCAAGCACTTAGTTATGCGTCCTTAAACTAGTTAAAATAATACAGCGAACTTCATATTACGAAATATCAGCCTTCAATAACCACTTCGAACGACACAGATTTAATAATATGCTATCGTATTTGTTTTCAAAACACGATTACCGAAATTTTAGCATGTCGTAATGGCCGGTTAGCTCAGTAGGTTAGAGCGCGGTGCTAATAACGCTGAGGTCGTGGGTTCGAACCCCATATCGGCCAGACTTTACTTTGTGTGTCAGTTGAACACCATTGGCGGCATCGGTTGCATCAACGTTTAGAAAATGAAATTGAAATTGA